AAGAAAGAAAGAAAGAAAGAAAGGAAGAAAGAAAGAAAAAGAAAAAAGAAAAAGAAAGAAAGAAAGAAAGAAAGAAAGAAAGAAAACAAGAAAGAAAGAAAGAAAGAAAGAAAGAAAGAAAGAAAGAAAGAAAGAAAGAAACAAGAAAGAAAAGAAATTAAATAAACTACCAGAACTCAGTTCAGCTGGGGAAACCACAAAAACACTCAAGCTCAGCAACACCCAAGAGGCTAAGGGATAAAATTAGTCATAAACTCTGGATGACTGATCCAACATCAGCACTCTGAGTTCGAGTTTCTTGCTAACATTTTATACCATACTTTTCTTTTGGAACAAAAAGTAAGTTTGAAAAGAACCAATTGTAACTTGAAAACATTCTGCCATCTTACAGGATGGCCTTTTCTTCTAGACCCAGAACTTGGTAAAGACAGAAAGTGCTCAACCCAAAGGGCCTGGAGAAGGTAGATTTCACAAGTCACTGGTGGTTAGACCATTATTCTAATGCAATGGAGCTACTAAAATACATGTATTTGTTATTAAGAAAAATTAGAAAACTAACATGTCTTTTTCTCCAGAATTATAAAAGATAAAACCTATTAATCAGTACTCTAATGTGATTACAGAAAAATAGCCAACTGAAGTTTTAAAAAAAAAAGCACAGGCTGTCTGTAACATTGTCCCCACTGTATTTCCTGCAGTTTTAATACTTTCCACCTGTTTTGAGGACTGAGCACATCCACGCCTTAGACACCCGTTGTTAGCATATTCAAGGTTGGGTCATGAGTCATCCCTACACTTAGGGTAAAAGTAATGTAGCTTAGTACACACAACACTTGTTTCATTCTTGAGTATTCTGTACGGGATTATCCAACATTGGCTCCTCCAAAGGTGAGAAAAAAGGTGTCAGGAAAATATTCCTTGGATTATTTTGGAATTCCAGAGAGACATCTGGCAGTTTGATACTTTTAACCCTCCTCCCCCATCACAATTTCCCTCTTTTAAAATTACAATCAACAACTCACGTAAGATTTAATCACATTTATGTAAAATAAGGGAGAGCTTTTCAATAATGTTCCCCCCTCCAGAGAACTAAAAGGGTTAGTGGAGCTCAGTGCCAGTAATTAAGAGGTTGATACCATAAAGTTCTAACTGGGACACAGGTGTGTCACACCCAGGAAAGATGTTACACACTTGCAAACGTCTGCTTTCTTTCACATTTCATAAACAACACAGGTTAATTTCAACGTCACTGCTTCATGGGTAATGCAGACATGTGTATCTTGGGTGGGTCTCTGCGTCAAGAGTTTCACCAGAGCAAAAAGCAAACACCCTTTTCTCCAGGAGAGTCTCCCCCTTTTGAGAAAACATTCTCCTATGCACTTTGTTTGTCATACTACGTTTACTGAAATGATACCAATGAATGGAATTCTAGAGGAAAACCAAGAACAAACTGAACACAAAAAGGTGGAGAGGACCGCACTCTCCTTCCCCACAGCATGTGCCCAGGCAACCCCGCGAGGGCATGGGGCGCAGCCTTGGGCTCCGCCTCGGTTCAGCCCCCACAGACTTACTTCTCTCTGTAATAGAGCAGGTAGTATTTCAGGGGATCTGGCAGAGGGAGGCTCAGGACCTTCTCACGTAGGAAGTTCACGGGTCGGGCTGGCTTTGCGTCTGGCGGCGGGGCTCGGTCCTCCTCCCGCTGCTCCTCTTCCAAGTCCTCACAGCTGTTGTCGTCCGATGGGCTGGAGATCCGACTGGCAAATACCTCTTTGTCCAAAAAGACGATCGTTTCCATGCGACGGCGGCGCACTCTCCTTCGCTTGGCCCTGGGAGTGTTCTTCAGTCCATTTCCACCGCTGCTCACTGTCTCCTGACGGATGACCTTTTTAATGGTGCCCCGGATGGCGATCCGAGCCAGATCCTGGAGGCTCCGCACGGCCAGGGGCGCTGCGGAGCAAAGAAGGAGATGCGTCAACCTCGTGAGTGAGGGACCCAGACAGCACGGGGCCCTAACTCTGGAAAACCGTCCCCTCACGGTCATTCGCGAGCGTTATTTACAGGACAAGCACAGGGGAGCATTCCCAGCAAATGTCAATGACAGCTCTGACATGCATGTATGTGGTCCTTCTCAATGGTATTTTCAAACACACGAACCCGAACTCATATAAGGAAAGGAAGCAAGGTTGTTTGTCTCATCAGTCAGAAGCAGAAGAAAACCCTGGGTTCATGACTCTGTTTACTGTATTCATACCTGGGTTCTAGCTCATGCAGTGAACGTAAGGCTCCAGAATTCTTTTATCTTATCTTTACATTTTCACAGTACTTTACAAATTGAGTATTTGTTCCTTTTTTATTAGAGAAAAGCAAATCCAAAACATTTTTAGTAAGTACAAAAACTCCAAAACATACCAAGGAAAAATAAAATCTGGAGATTTAAAGTCCAGCTCAGTTTAATGCAGGCAGTACACACATGGCAACAGGAGAGTTCTTCTCAAAGGGGGAGGAATTAGCGGGGTTGTGTGTTTAAATACATTATACTGAAAACCACCATCACTTTTTTCCCTCCAGGACCTATTTTTTTTTTTCCTAAGATTTTATTTATTTGACAGAGACAGCACAAGCAGGGGGAGCAGGAGAGGAAGATGTGGGGCTCCAGTACCTAACTTCTTCCAAAAAAGATGACACCCTACAATATAGGGAGGGTTCTTAGGTTGTCTGTAACATTTACTACCCAAATCAGAGCAGCCTGCGCAGAATCCTGTGCAATGCTCCCTATTCCACGGGAGCCCGGGGAGGGCCCCGGGCCCCAGGCTCTCGGCACCTTCTCCCCTGTGTCCACACCAGGCCTCCTCTCCTGTTCAACTGTCTCCTCCCTGTTGTCCAGGACAAGCTCCAGCACATGCCCGTGTCTCACTACACAACACCGTAATCATGACTTCCTGCTCAATACACCCACCTTTCCTTGCCTTGCCCCTCAGTCTGCTGAACGGACTCCTTCTCCGGCTCTCCCTGAGGTCCCACTTGAAGGGAACCAACTTGGCCCAAGTCTCTGCTGCCAGTCCCTCCCCCCTCCCCCTCCACCGTGGCTAGTAGTGCTCCCTCGGGTGCTGATTTCTACCATCTCCCCCACTCCATGTCCCTATCAACCCTTGGTTTGACATCGAGTAACAAAGACTGGGCAGCGGCTCCCAGGGCTCTGCTCCATTCCTGACTGGGGTCCTGAGCTTCCCCAGACCCACATCTACAACAGATGCCGGACACCTCAGGGCACACATCCTTCCTCAGAAACACCCTACGTGCCTGCCCCCGAATCCCTTCAGCTGCAGAGGCCACCGTCTCCATGGACACAACTTTGTTAGTTTAGAAAACTCTGGCCCAGGAAGACAAAGTTACAAATAACTGTTCACTTCCAGAACCCAAAACAACATCACATGTTATTTATTTTCCAGCATTGGCTCTTGAAGCTCTGGCCTCAAAACCCGCATCTCAGGGTGCCCTCCATGCTGTCACAACTCTTATCCAGACCCAATCAAGTCCTCACACCAAGAGACTTGTCTTCAACCAAACCCCCATTGAAGCCTCATAGATGCACCGACTACGGCCTCACCTTCTGACACTCGGGCAGTGTTCTGGAAGGCCGCGCCCTGGCTGACTGCGAGCAATGCTAGCTTCTCCTGGGGAGATTTCCAGGGAGCATGCACGTGACAAATTCACCCTCCACCTGGCCAGCAGGGTTGTCGAGAACACAGAAGCACCACATCTTTTAGTTCCCACATCTGGTGGCTCCCACAGCCTCCATGACAAGTCTAACCTACGTAGTGGGCTAGTTTCTCCTATACACCCCCACTCGGACCACGCTGAGGAGCATGCATGTAGAAAGTCCCCATCAGCCTCTGCTCATGCTTCTTCTCCCTTTCTTCTCTCTTCAAAGAATTTACTTTCACCCAAAACATCCCATCCTCTGTCAAACCCTCCCTGGCCCCTCTCAGCCCCTTTCTGTATTGTACTGTTGCTCTTACCACATTTCAAGGACCACATCTATGGCATGCGACCTCCACTTAGCAGAGACCAAGGCAGAGCATGACTATCTGATAAATGATTCCTCACAAATTAAAAAAAAAAAAATTCTGGAAGGAATTTGCCCATATGTATTATCTTTGGGTGGTGAGATTATGGTTATTTCCCCCCCACCTTTTTTTTTGGTGCATTTTCCAAATTTTCTAAATGATCAGAATGCAGAATCCATGCTCTTATTGGTCTTATTTTAAATAAAATCATTTGCAATTCTCATTGCCATATAAATTTCTGTTTAAATTATAAAACAGTTATCTGGATGAATGCTGGCCCTGATTTCAGCTCTTTGTGGTTCTACATCCTGAAGGAGTTGAAGACACAGGCCTAGCCAAGTAAGGCTCCACGGTAAGCCTCCCACCATAGACCAGCAGACCAGCTGAAGCATGTGCCCACGAGGCAGCCCCAAGGAGGAAAGGGTCCCATGACTCTGCAAGAGCCCTCTGGCTCAGTGGTGCTGGCAACACACTCTCTCTGTGAGACCTCTCCACAAAGCAGAATTAACTCCCTCTCATGGGAGTCTTCTGCTTTCAATGGCATGACCAGCAATAATTCCTGTAGATTTAAAAGAAGGCAAAAATAACCTAAAATAGGCTGAAAACAGATGATTTTTCAATTTCGAAAAATCATTTGTAACATTTTAAGGTTTCAATGGGTAGAATAATGCTCTTTAATATTAAAAGATTCCTTACAATTTGTCTTTCTCTTCAAATTCTACTGAGATTATTTAAAAGATCTAAAAGATAAATAAGGGTCTTTGTACTTACGTAACTGGACAAGTCTTGATTTTCCAGACTCTGAATGACAGGGCTGGATCAGAGGAGCAAAAGAAACTGCCAGAATCTTTTTGGTTTCCCAAGCAGAAGGACCAGTTCGTGTTATCTTAGTCAACTGCCCCCAAAGAGAAAACAAGAATATTCACAAGATTTGGCTACTGTTATTTTATATTTAATCACTCCTACATATAAACTAAAAAAAACCACAGATATGCTGATAATGAAATAACCTGACAACAGAGGCCCCTAAAGTGATGTGACGTGAAGTATCCGTAATGAATTATTATTCTTGCAAGGATGTTTTGCCTGAACATATTCAAAGCCTCTAGACCTAATTTCTGTTTACAAGAAATATGTATCGTTAGAGAAAAGAAGTCAAAGGATACCAAACCAAGAGGAGACAATCAGATGAGACAACTTCCCTGGGCTCTCCACAAGAGTCAGCGGTGAGGGCAACAGGGGGGCGGGGCGGGGGGGGGGCGGCGACATTCTAAAGTCAAAGTCATTAAAGACATTCACGACCACCTGCAATGCTTCAGTCTAGACGGGATCCCAGGCTGTTTTTTCTGGAGGACAGAAACCATAAAAAGACCTTCTTGCAACAACATGACCACACACCAAACAGCAGCTACTGTTGCAGTTTCACAGTCACATCACCTCTGTTGGAGCTTCTCCTCACTACAGTACTGAGTTTCTGTGTGACATCACCACCATGACACACAGACTTGCAGCGAAGGTCATGAAAACATTCCTTATGAATCACAGTATTAGGGGCATCAGAAGAACCTAATCAGACAACATGGCCCTCCTGTGTATTCTGTGATGGTGCCAGTTTCTGAAAAGCCCAAGCAGGTCACAGTGCTATTTTCTGCTCAGCTATGACATGCGAAGATTAGATACTCTCTTGTCTAAAAATATGTAAGCCACATCAAGGACTAATGATGTAATGTATGCTGATTAACGTAACAATAAAAAATAAAAAAATAAAAATAAATAAAAATATGTAAGCCAGCAAATCCTCTAAAAACTAAGATTCTATATCACGAATCTTAGAACTGAAAGCATTAAGTAGCCACGTACTAGGTAAGCATCAAAAGTCATTCACACTCTTGTGTACCAGCAAAAACTTCTTTTTAAAAACATTTTTTTTTAAGGAGAAGTTCTAGTCATAATGAACATCAAATATCTAAATACAATCGATAAATAACATGTGAACTATTCAGGAAAACTATAAATCCATATTCCATGTTCCCCAGACAAGGAGATGGATACTGAAAATATGTCTACGATCCTCAAATTAACATACACATAACACAATTCCAATAAAAGGTCTGACGTATTTTTCTGATAAAAGATTTCTAAAATAATTTAAGTCAAGGGGTGCCTGGATGGCTCAGTTGGTTAAGCGGCCAACTCTTGATTTCAGATAGAGAGCCTTGATCAGGTGCACTCAGCAGCGAGTCTGCTCCAGGATTCTCCCTCTCCCTCTCCCTCTGCCCCTCCCCCCCCCCCCCTCTCCCCCCCCCACCCGGCACAAGCCCTCTCTCTCTCTCTCTCTCAAATAAATCAATCCTTTAAAAAATAATAACAATTTGGGGCGCCTGGGTGGCTCCGTCGTTAAGCGTCTGCCTTCGGCTCAGGTCATGATCCCAGGGTCCTGGGATCGAGCCCCGCATCGGGCTCCCTGCTCAGCCGGGAGCCTGCTTCTCCCTCTCCCACTCCCCCTGCTTGTGTTCCCTCTCTAGCTGTGTCTCTCTGTCAAATAAATAAACGAAATCTTAAAAAAAAAATAACAATTTAAATAAAGATGTATTTAAAACAATAACCTGAGAAAGAAGAGCAAAACTGGGGACATGTACCCCTGCTGTCCACAATGGTGACAGCAATAAGCAGGTGGGACTGTCGGCAAGGGCATGGGTGGCTCCTCTCCCAAAAGGCAGTTGGCCAAAGTTAAAATACCGAGTCTCTGATCAAGCACTTCTGCTTTTGAGACTGCACCTGGAAGAGGTCTTGGGTGTAGACAAAGGTTAAGAATATCCACAAACACGTCTATGCACACCCTCTTCACAGCAGTACTGCTTGTAAACAGCAGAAGGGTGGAAAGAACCCAAATGCCCATCAAACAACCACATTTTCATACACCAACAAAAAACATTTTTAAGTACAAAAAATTGGGACAGAAAAGAATTTCCATGTATACCAAATATCAAATACTTAAAATGAACAATAAGCAATGATAACACCGAAAACTATCAATTCCTATTTCATATGTCTGGATGAATACACGGAATGGAAAAAAAAAAGTGCATATCTTCACCGAAGTAAAGTTATGAAAAAAGTGGGTTTGCTTATGTATTTTTTGAGTAAACAGATAAACTAAAAACAAAGTGGTTACCTACAGGTGAAGTGGAAGCGACATACCTGGAAAAAAAATCTGTGAGTATTCATTATTTAGATCTTGGAAACTTGTAAATATTTAACAAAGTTATAAAACCTAATATGGCAATTCCTAAAAACTGAAACAAAAGAGCTGTAAGTCTGCCTGGCAGTATAACCTCACAGGGAAGCATTATTTCCAGTGACTTTCAAACACGTGAATGTGTACATCCCCAGGGGAATAAAAGGGCAATCTAAGGACAGTCAGGGAGCAGGCCTTCCGGCGTGGAACACAGGTAATGCTGATTTAAGACGGAAGAAGTCAGGAAAACCCTCTGGTCCTGACTTTGAGCCGGAAGTACCAATATAAACCCATGGTGTGTTTTATGTCCAAAAGCCAAACCAACAAAAACATATGTATGTATGGGGGTGGCTTCCTAGCTCCAGAATTCCACTGTAAAAAACTAAACTATTATTGGGGCGCCTGGGTGGCTCAGTCGTTAAGCGTCTGCCTTCGGCTCAGGTCATGATCCCAGGGTCCTGGGATCGAGTCCCACATCGGGCTCCCTGCTCAGCGGGAAGCCTGCTTCTCCCTCTGACCCTCTCCCCTGCTTGTGTTCCTGCTCTGCTGTCTCTCTCTCTCTCTCTGTCAAATAAATAAATAAAAAATCTTTAAAAAAAAAAAAAAAAAACTAAACTATTATTAAAGGTTAGTTCCGACACAGGTCCCACCTGTGTTCCCTAAACACCGATTCCCACTGAACTTAAAATTAACAGAGATCCTCAGAAATGGTTAATTCCAACTTCGTGGTAAAAAATACACCAAATGAGTGTGGAACATCTTTTCGTACCAGAAAGTAATAAAACCATCAAAGACTACTGAGGGTATATCAGAGCCCAGGAGCCAAACTGAAGAGATGCCCGTTGGCCAAGATGGGGTATTTTAAGCTTCAGTAAGAATCATACAATGATTAAAATTTTAAGTATGTCTGTATCCATGAATGCACACCACCACTAGAAACCAAATAAAAACTTATTAGTCACCACCTTCAAGAGATGCTAGAGAACGAGATTATTGAGGAAACTAATAAAGTTTAGGAATCAGAATTTATCCAGCCTCTCCTTATAAAGTGTACTTAGGGTAACCAAATAACTGATGAGGGTGTTTCTCTTTATGTAAGTATTCCAGGTACTATAAAGTTGCAAGATACAATATCAATGTGCAGAAATCCACTGCATTTCTATACACTAATAATGATGCAGCAGAAAGAGAAATTAAGAAAACAACCCCATTTATAACTGCTCCAAAAATAATGAAATATCTAGAAATAGACTTAAAAAGGAGGTGAAACACCTCTACTCTGAAATTTATAAAACACTGATGAAAGAAACTGAAGACGACACAAAGACATAAAATGGATTAAGGACCTAATGTGACACCTAAAGCCGTAAAAATCCTACAAGAGAGCACGCACAGGCAGTAATGTCCCTGACATCGGTTGTAGCAACATTCTTCCAGATAGGTCCCTTGAGGCAAAGGAAACAAAAGCAAAAATAAACTGTTGGGACTACATCAAAATAGAAAGCTTCTGCACAACAAACAACCAACAAAACTAAAAGACAACCTACTGAATGGGAGAAGATATTTGCAAATGACATAGCCGATAAAAGGTTAGTATCTAAATTACATAAACAACTTATACAACTCAATGCCCAAAAACCAAATAATCCAATTAAAAAATGGGCAGAAGACATGAACAGATATTTCTCCAAAGAATCCAGATGGCAAACACACACATGAAAAGATGCTCAATATCACTCATCATCAGGGAAATGGAAATCAAAAGCACAAAGGCCTGAACGGCTCAGCTGGTTGAGCGTCCAACACCTGGTTTCAGCTCAGGTCATGATCTCGGGGTCGTGAGATGGAGCCCCGCATCAAGCCCCACATTCAGCACGGAGTCTGCATGAGATTCTCTCTTCCTCTCCTCTGCTCATCCTACTCATGCTCTCGCTCTCTCTCTAAAATCAATAAATATATCTTTAAAAAAAAAAACCCACAATGAGATACCACCTCACACCTGTCAGAATGGCTAAAATCAACAACACAGGAACAAGCGTTGGTGAGGATGTGAGAAAAAAGAACCCTCCTGCACCACTGGTGGGAATACAAACTGGTGCAGCCACTCCGGAAAACAGTATGGAGGGTCCTCAAAAAGTTAAAAATAGAGCTACCCTACAATTCAGCATTGCACTACTAAGTATTTATTCAGAAAATATGAAAACATTAATTCAAAGGGATACATGCACCCTGATGTCTACTGCAGCATTATTTACAATAGCCAAGATATGGAAGCAATCCAAGTGTCCATGGATAGATGAATGGATAAAGAAGATACAGCATATATACATACACGATGGAATATTATTTGGCCATAAAGAAGAATGAAATCTGCCATTTGCAATGACATGGATGGAACTAGAGAGTACTATGCTAAGCAAAATAAGCCAGTCAGAGAAAGACAAATACTATATGATTTCACTCATATGTGGAATTTAAGAAACACAACAATTGAACATAGGAAAAAAAAAAGAGAGACAAACCAAAAAACAGACTCTTAAAGAACAAACTGAGGGTCACCAAAGAGGAAGTGGGTAGGGCGACGGGGGAAATAGGTGAGGGGATTAAGAGTACACTTATGTTGATGAGCACTGGGTGATGTATGAAAGTGCTGAATCACTTCATCATACACCTGAAGCTAATATAACACTGTATGTTAACTATACTGGAATTAAAATTAAAAAAGTATTTGAGGTACTAAATGAAGAGAAATGATGGAATCAGAACGGATTGTTCTGCGTCCCTTAATGAAATAACGGATCAGGACCACAATCGCACTGCTAGCATCGGAAAAAGAGACCACAGGCATGATTGTGCCTACATATGAATGTACCCCGTAACACACGGTAAGTATTCTTGCACCTCCCCGCCAAATTAAGTCCACCTGGAAACTAGGCAAGTCTTTAGATCCAACTAACAATTTATGATGAAAATAGGAGCAGAAAGACTATGTAAAACATCACCACAGAGATATGTAATCTCCAAATCCAGGCTATGGGAAACCCTGTAAGACAAATCACCTGATTTCTTCAACAAGTACATTACAAGGAAAAAGTAAAAAAAAGAAAAAAAGAAGTTACAGATAAAAAACACTTAAGCGGTATATCAACCCTGGGTGCCAGGCTGTCTCAATCAGTGAATGGAGCGTGCAACTCTTGCTCTTGGGGTCATGAGTTTAAGCCCCACGCTGGGTGCAGAGATTACTCAAAAATAAAATCTTTAAAAAAAAAAAAAAGAGAGAGAGAGAAAGATCAACCAAATACAAGGCATAAATCTTAAATGGAGATCCAAATAAACTATTCAAACAAATTTTGAGACAATCAGGAAAATTTGCATATTAGCTGTCAATTCAAAAATACTAAGAAATTACTGGTGATTTTTTAGATTGATAATGGTTTTGTGACATCTTAAAAAAACAGCCCTTATCTTTTATAGATACACTTTGAAATATTTATGGATAAAAATTTTGTTTTACTTAGCAATATTCACTCCATTTTGTATATAATAGTAAGTAACAGAATGTTATACACTATACACACAGCCTCATGTCCATTTCCAGGAGCCAGAGGATACACTATGGTCAACAATTCCACAGGTTAGTATGTAAGCACTCAATAGGATGATACGAAATGTTAAATGGCTTAAAATCATCTCATCAATTAAATAAAACCGTATGCACAATGACCTTCTTGGAAAAGGGTACAAACTACAAGAATCATACACTAACAGTGCTTAAAGTGAGGACTGTGAGCAATTTTTCTTAATTTTCACATGTTCTGGATTTTCAACAATGAATGATTCCTTTTTAAACAAAATAAATGCTAACATATTTAAATTGCAGAAAATCACACAAAAATGCACAATCTCCTAATTTTTATCATTTCCATTTTTCCTAGTTCTTTGTGACTGAGACATTCTCCCTGATGACCAATTCAGGTTTGATTAATCTGCTTGTTTATTACAACTTGTTTTTCTCAATGAAGCACAACAGCTACAATGTACAAAAACATGCGCGACCCAACAACAGACTGAGCCAAGATTCCTCCTAAGGAAGGGATTCCAGTATAATGCTCGCAGTCACAGAATTTAACAATTAGAAGACAACTACTCTAATGATTTTTACAAATAATTCTAACAACAGAATAAGAATCCTGGAAGAGCTGTGGAGGAGGGGAGGGAGGTGGGAGAGAGGAGGAGACAGACGGAGATGAGGGTAAGGGCTTACAGTGCAGGTTCTAGGTGCCTACCTGTCAGGCCCTGGCCCAAGCTACGCTGTCTTTATGACCTGTCCCTGCCTGTGTCCTCATTTGTGAAACAGAAGGAGTTGTCATGAGGAATACAAGGAAAAATATATGGAAACTTCTTGGAACAGACCTTGGCCAACAGTTAAGCGTGTCAGTTAGGAGAGGGGTCTGACCTTCTCTTCCAGTGGCATGACAAGGATGCCCCCTACTTTGAGAAGACTCTTCATGTACTCTTCATGCTCTTTCTGCACACCAGCCCCACAGTACACACGATCGTACTGAGAACAATCTGGAGAAATCTCCAGGCAATTGCCAGTAACAAAGGAAGGTTCACAGAAGTCAAATCTAAAAGCAAAAAATGTTTTCTGTAACTGAATATATCACATTATAGCAAGTCTCTATAGTAAGTCTATACTAACCACAGGTTATGTTTTCCTTGAACAACCCTATAATGACATAATACAACTGACAGAGCCAGAAGATGGAAGTCAGACCTCCAAAAAGAATATTATTAATAAACAGAACCCTAGAAATAAACAAAACCCAAACAAAATATTATGAAAGTGAATGTCATAAACATAATATAGACTTAAATCATCTAACCTCCAATCATCACCGTCTTTGCTCTGTTTTTATAAAACATTACCTTATTTAAGATCTACTAAAACTGGGCGCCTGGGTGGCTCAGTTGGTTAAGCCACTGCCTTCAGCTCAGGTCATGATCCTGGAGTCCCGGGATCGAGTCCCACATCGGGCTTCCTGCTCAGCAGGGAGTCTGCTTCTCCCTC